TACCATAAAATCAACCCACATTTTTGCTTCCGTGTGTGTTGGGTGATCACGTCATTCACACGGATAGTCCTAATGTGGCAGACAAAACTACTACAGGCAACGCCTCTCTTGATCAGACTGTTCCCTGGGAAGAGCAATGAGCATCCTATCTAAAGGGGCTTGTAGACTGCCAAAGGGCTATTGGCTGCAGCAGTATCCCAAAATGCCTATTTAGGATTATTGGGTTTTTTTATTTCTTCCTCTAAAGTTGACGATGACAACCCATTTTTGTTTGACCAAGTAACTGAAGGACCTTGACCGGCCACCAGGAGTAGATGGGTCAGTGTCTGGTCCTTGGTGGTTGCTCTGCAGAAGCTGCTGCTGCCTAGGAGAGGTCTGTGGTAGAGTGTCCCATGGGACTTCTGGGAATGAGTGTTTAGATCATTTAAACTTGAGAACGGTCTTAATGAAGGTTCTCGGAGAAAAGATGGAAACAAAAAATTAGGTCTTCCCTGGTGGGTTTTAAAAATTTGCTGCAGGGACAGCATCCAGAGGTTCCTAATTTGCTGATATTCAAGTTCTTTAATGCATTTTACCGCTTTCCAGCACTGTACGCTTGACCTTGTTACAGTGCTTTTAATAAGGTTGATTTAAAGTATTTAGGACAAGGCACGTCAGAAGTAAGTGAAAGGAAAAAAATAAATTATGGGCAAAATCAGTTAACAGCCTGAATTTAGTGGTAGCAGCTCAAAGCCCAGCATCTCTGTCTCCCTGTATTATTTTGCTGGGTATTTCCCGATTACACCCTCTCCTTCACACGGGAGGTAAAAATTATCTTTATTGGGTATTCTGAGGACCAGTACCCAAATTCAGCGATCTTCTGAAAAACAAGCCCTAGCTCCCCTTTGAGAAGAGGGGTTTGCCTGCCTAGAGACCTAAAAATGTTGCTACTCTATTTTAGCTTGAAATAGAGTTTGAGTGACAAAATGCCAGGCAGGAGCCGAGCAGCAGCGGCTCAGCTGTAGGTGGGACCCATCCTGCAGCAGGGTGCTTGCGCCTCCCCATGGATGCGGCGTCGTGCCGGGAGGCTGGGGAGGGGGCGATCCCAAAAGCCGGGCAGACGTCGTGCCAAGGCGGCACCAGCTGAGTCCGTCTTCTGGGAAGAACGTAGAACAGTGTTTGCTGGCAGCCCAACAGCAAGTTTCAAGCAAATATAGTGATATATTGTTAAACTAAATCATCCAAATACAGTTTCTGTTTACTTGAAGAATTCTATCGGTGTTATTAAGGGGATAGGGGTGGTAGGAGCTGTGAGGGCCAGAGTTGGAGCGGGACTCCAATGTGTTAGGGGATGTAGGAAGGTAAAAAAGCACAAAGATGGGAATCATTCCCAAGATTTTTTAATTCGGAGTTAAATTTTGACAGTCTAAGGTAAAATCAGGGAACAGAGGCTGAAGTTTGACCTTACCTCTGCTCCAGGCTTCCTATATTGGTCACATTTCCATTTTCCAACACAGCTTTATAAATAGTGGGATCAATATACTTTTACCAGAAAAATTCCTGGAAATGATTAAAAAAACCTTAGTTCTTAAGTTGTCAGCAGCTTGTCAGAAGCAAAGTCGTTGAGCTTTCCCAAGTTACCTCTGGTGAGCTGGGCGACAAATCCTAACGAGGCAAATATACGGATGCATTTCATCTCACCTCATCTCTTCAGTAACGTCCCCCTGTTCCTAGCGGTGTGATAGCACACTTGGGAAGAGCTTTAGGGACCGGATAACGTTGCCGTCGGATTCCACCCTCGCCACCCGACTCCCCGGCGGGGTGAAGGAGCTGAAGCGCGGCGGTGCGAGGTCTCCTGCCTGGAGAGGAGCTGTGCCCGCCGCGCGCGGCCCCGCACCGCTCTGGGCTCCCCGGTCCCCTCTGCTGTGTTTCCCGGTGATGCACCACGGAACCTCCCCCAGCAGCTGTCACCTTTCCTCACGTCCCCACCTTTGAAGCTGCTGAGAGGGGCTATAAAATACCAGAGCTCGCCCGGAGGACAGAATATAGTAACGGGCTGGAAGGAAGCAGGCGTTTTCCCAGGAGGAAATGGTGGAGGCAAACGATAGCGATGGAGTATTCGGAGAGTGAAGGCGATTCCTCGGATGAAGAGTGCTGTTTCTCGGGGAGCAGCGATGAGTACTCCTGTGACGAAGCCCAGAAAGTGTCCGAGTCAGTGCTCGCAAGCAAGGCTTTCACATAATGACTTGTGTTTAATGCCATGCATTTCAATTAACTACTTTTGCATTTATTGCCCTGCACTTCTAATAAGTAATCACCTGTTGCATTTATTGCCCTGCACTTCTAATAAGTAATCACCTGTTGCATTTATTGCCCTGCACTTCTAATAAGTAATCACCTGTTGCATTTATTGCCCTGCACTTTTAATAGCTACTTTTGCATTTAGTGCTGTGCACTTACAGTAATGACTTGTTGCATTTAATGCCCTGCACCTCTAGTAATGACTTCTGCATTTAATGCCCCACACTTCAGTAACTGCTGTTGCCTTTAATGCTGTGCACCTCAAATAACTCCTTGTCACATTTAACGCCGTGTGCTGTAGCTGGTGGCCGCCTGTCGAAATTCTGCCCTTAAAAACACGGACTGACCGTTTGCTTTGCCTGAAGGTGACCGAGTTTCATTCCTAGCTCAGTGGCGCGGCCCGGGGTGCGTTTGTCATTTGTAAGCGTTGCTGGCGGTGTGTGGAAGCCTGAGCGGGTCTTGTGTTTCACCGCTGATGCACGTAAAGGTTTAACGTTTGTATAGAACTGAAAACGCGTTGAGTTTTTCCTTCTGTTTTTAGAAACTTGGTGAGATTTTTAATCCTGTTTGCAGCCTGATTGGTAACCAGCACCTGACAGGAGAGTGTGTGCGGTTCATAAACCCCCTTGGAATCGATTGGGCTGTGGGAGCAGAAAGCTGCTTGCCCCCGTCGCCCTCTTCCTTCGGCGTGTGCGGGACGAGGGTCCTGCGGCGGTGGCGGAGGGGGGGCCGTAGGCAGGGATGCGCAGCATGGCTTGGGAGACAGCCCAAGGTAGAGATTTCTTGATTTAACGCCCCATAGAGGAGCCACTTCATCACTCATTTTAAAAACCTGTTTTTTCTCCTGACTTATCAGTTAGCTCTGCTCATGCAGAACATAAAGAAACCTCGGAAGCGCGTGACGTTCTGCATTATATCCCTCTGGATCGGGTGTTTGTGCCGAGCAAGACGCCCTTGGGGAAGTGCCTCTGCTCTGCATTAATCCCATGCTGATTAAAAGGGTGAAATAAGTACAAGACAGTGGAAACCGTAACAGTTCCTTGTGCATTTTCATCTCTGACATTAAGGTTTATTTAAAATATTTGAACTGCAGCCACCAGTAGCTGTATCTTACTTGCCTGCAATCATCTACCGGTACTACAGTAACTGTAATCCTGACTCTAACCTGTAACTAGAAAGATGTAAACTGTATTTTTGTGGCAGAAAGGCATCGAGAGAATGGCACAAATCTGTTAAGCTTTAACAGGAGTTAATGAGCAACCAGAAAGTTGACGTAGTTGTTTTAAAGTATTAATATGCCGGCAAAAGTTGGCTACAGCAACTTAATGGGAAATTAAATACTATCATTCCTTTTCCTCCCTGTATTTACCAGAGTTGTAGAAGTTAATAGAATTGTCTATGGCTATTCGGGTACTTCTTCCGACTTGCTTTCAGTTACCGTAATTTTGTTTATCAGTATGGATAAATTGGCACTAATACACACTGAAATTTTATTGGAAACAGACTCAAAGACAGTCTTTGAATATAGGCGTGAATATTGACGTTTCTTTCATTTACATTTCTGCTCGCTGTGTTTTAAAGATATTAAAGTAATTAAGTTAATTAATGATTGCCTTCAAGGGAGAGTGCTCATTCCTGTATGAGCGCACGTGCACCGCACGTTTTTTACTATATTACTGCTTTAATACCTCCAGTCTTTAAGCAGGGGAACTCTATTTCTAACAGCACTTTTAAATCTCATTTTCCACTTGGGTGGAAGTGTGCGGTGTCTTTCCAGTCTAAATGAATTAGTCTGTTCAGAAGAGGTGGGTCTCTTCTGCCTGTAATCCACTTACCCTTCGGAGGTGGAAAGGTTCGGAGCGGGTTTGAATAAAACGGCGACTCTGGATCCGGTGCATTTGTTTGGCCAACAGAGAAAATGCAAGGACATCTCTACAACCCTGACAAACCACCAGACTGGTCTGATTAGAATGAATTAACTTCATATTTTATAGCTTGGGCTGGCCACAGCCAAATTCTTGGTGGGGGAGGGAAAGGGAGAGCACAAAGGATTCGGTATGAAGATCAGAAGACATTCTAAGTGCAATATTTTTAATTTCTGAACAGCTAGAGAAAAGTACCAGTGCAATGTTTTAATGCTGAGACCTTTCAGAAGCTTCATCCTAATCAGGCCCCTTTTATAGGCACAGTCCCAGCCTCCGCCTTGCTCAGACAGCAAGCACGGAGCGAGTCCTGCAGCCCGCCGTGTGCGCCGGAGCTGCTCTGGGCAGCAGAGCGATGTCCTCCTTCACGGGATGCTTCGTGTTCCAACATTGAGCTATTACGCAGGTTTTGGGGGAGAAGGACGTGAGCAGAAGTCTAAACGTTCATCAATAAACCTATGCCAATAGCTCATATTTGGATAAAACTGCTTCTGCGCGCAGATGTGCGTAGTGAGAAATGAGACTTTGCCCAAAAGAGATGAAAAGCACGGGCTGGTGCGTGGCTGGGTGCCTCGGTTACAAGGGCAACCTGCTTCTCTCGTTCTGCTCATGCGTGGGTTTTCGCTCTTGTGTGCTTGAAGCCTGTACAGGCGATCAACAGCAAACCAAAATAGGGCGAAAGCTGTGAAACCCAGGAATTTATTCCTGGAGTGCTTTAAGAACGCAGTATGGTGGGAAATAAAAGAGCTGGTCATGAAAATAACACAGCTTGCTTACGAAATGTCTTTTTTCTTTCAGGGAGGATGTCAGAACGGCCAACGTCATTGCGGCTGAAGCGGTAACTTGCCTGGTCATAGACAGAGAGTAAGTACAGCGTTCCCCTGCCTTGGGGTGGGGAGCATCTCCAGTTCGCACCTTTTACCGTTCTTAACTAAAGCCTTTGAGCATTTTCTCCAGAGAGGTCATTTAATTTTGAGTAATACATTCACAGTCCTCGATGAAGTAGAGGGAAGATCCCCCTAAATCAACAAGACAAAACGCAGTAGTGACACATGGAGAAAATTAAGAAGTGCAGAAAGACAAAATAGAGATAAATGGGGAGATAGCATTACAGTGGAAATGGATCCAGGCGTTATGGTGCAACACAGATTGAGTTCATGTTGGCAAAATGTCACGAAAGGCATCAAGCTTCTGGCAAACGTTAAAGCAAGATGTTGTTATTCTATCCCATGTGGGGATGGAGAGCCCTCGTCCAAAGGGTACAGCCCTACTTGAAGCTCTGCAGCTCAGAGGAGACAGAGGAGATCAGGAGGGGAAAATAATGTCTTATCTAGGGAGCTGGAATGAATTACACGGGTGTAATCTAGAAAATAAATGCTTGGGCTCCAGAAAACACTGCTGCAAATTCAGCTGCTCCCTGCAGTTGTTGGGAATGGGATTTAAAAACTAGCATTGCCTTGAAAATTCAACGTGACTCTTGGGGTGGTTTTCCAGTTGTGAGGGCAGTGAAGCACTGGCATAGACCACCAAAAGGTTCAGACAAATCTTCCACGGGAATCCTCCCAAGGGCATGTAGTACAGATCTGTGAAACCATGGGAGACACGGGTAGGATGAATGGGGATTGGCTTTTCACTGCCTCCCCCGGTGCAAGAACCCGAAGAAACCTGCAGGAGGGAGGTGATGGCCAAAAGGAGGTGGCTTTTCACATGGGCATCGCTCACAGAGCCACAGGAAAATGAGAAGAGTTTGCAAGTGTTCAGAAGTAAAAGAAGCCCATTGGATTTATTAAATGCGTAGGAGATACCTCTGGGCTGGGAAGTTTTGGAAAGCTATAGGAGAGTATCAAGGCAAATATCACAAATGGTTGCTCTGTCTTTGAATTCTTCCCGGGGCGCACAGTCTTGATGCAAGACACCGTCCCAGGTCGGATGCTGGGCTAGGAGTGACCTCAGAAGCCCTTCTGATACTCTGATGAGATACATGAGAGATGCCGGCGTGTCCTGTAGGGATGATCCATGCTCAATCCTGCTTCAGCACAAGAGTTTTGTATTCAGTTATCACTTGAGATTTCTTACCATCCTTCATTTCTGGAAATCTCGTGTTCTGTAAAGGCTGAACCCGGGAAGAATATTTCAAAAACCCTAGGTCTTCTGGTATGTTAGTTTGGTTATGATCAATTTAAAAAAATTATTGTCTGTCCGTTGAAAACGGATGGTGAACTTCAGGACTGTCAGCTGAGTGGCTTTCTTGCACATACACCAGCAAGGTAGCCCGGTAGATAAAATACGCCTAATTCCTTACCCTTCCATGGGACAAAGAGGGGAGCAGCTGGGGGGGTTCAGCCTGGAGCAGAGGAGGCTGAGGGGAGCCCTCATCGCTGCCTACAACTGCCTGAGAGGAGGGGGGAGCCGGGGGGGTCGGGCTCTGCTCCCAGGGAAGGGGCGATGGGACGAGGGGCAGCGGCCTCAAGTTGTGCCAGGGCAGGGTGAGGTTGGCCATGGGGAACAATTCCTTCCCCTTGGGGCTGTCAGGGGCTGGAAGGGGCTGCCCAGGGAAGGGGTGTAGGGGGGCGGTTGGGCTGGGGGAGCTTAGAGGGCTTTGCCAACCTAAATGGTTCTAGGATTCTATAATTAGATAATCTAGCAATCATTCATTCAGAGAAATATAGAGCAATAAGTAATTTATGCTTTTGATTCCGAAAGTTTCTGCAAGGGATATTTTTGGTTTGTGCTGTAAACATTTTAAAACCCCCAAATAACAGTAATTGCAGAGTCGGGCCTTACTGATCATTTCACAGACTGCGTCTTGCTTTGCCTGCTGTGCCTTTTTCTCCGTATATAACGCCCTTGAAAGGGTAGGGAAGTACAAGTTCAATTTATACTGATGAAGCTGTAGTTAATCCATGCCAGAGCTTCTAATAATGCTCTGCAATTAAGAGCAGAGTAACACTATTTATAAGAATCCTATTTATAGTGCAAGAAAAGCAAATGCTCTGTATAGCACTTTTTATAGTTCAGGGAAGGTTGTCCTGTGGCCTGGCCAGTTCTGACTTTCTCGTCACAGCTCTTCTGATTATTATTTTATAGGTGTGCAGATAACTGTAGACACTACTTTAAATATGGAGAAAAACTACTAAGACTTCTGTGAATTTGGAAGATTGTGGAGGCGCAGTTCTGTTAATGAGGAAAAGTAGCATTTCGTTATACCCAGACACAGAGACTATTACAGCATTGGGTTTGTTACCGTGGTCACGGTAAACGTTCACGTTGGGTTATATGCAAAGTCGAAATGGAAGCTGGAAGTCAGCGACAGCGGGAAGCTGTTGTGCGCAGAGGAGTGACGCGGGTCATTAAGGCTGCCTGGTAGCTTCTACTACGAGAGGAGCTCGTTGCTTAATCAAACGGAACTATTGAGGCAGTGATTTCCACATCTGTGTGCCTGTCTCAGCCTGAAACATTCCAGCAAAAATGATGTTGCAATTTCAAAGAACACGTTATCGGGAAATATCGTTTCCTTAACGGTCAATCCATTTCTCTGAGAAACTGGAGATTTTCAGTCTTACTGACAGCAGGGGTTAATACCGCCCATTGGCGTTACCTTGCCATCAAGCTACTCTTCAAGCTTCCTTTTGAAAGTCTTCCCAAGACATCCAAAAATTGTTCCACAGGGCACCTGAGAGCCTCACTGGCTCCTAGAGCTGCTGTGCTCCCATCTAGCTAACACAGGAACGGTAAGAGCCACATCTTGGTATCACAGCAAGTTCTTCCAAAGAGAAGACAGAAGACTGGTCTCTGGATTTGGCAATATAATGAGCAATTGTAGGGCTGTCTTAGTTGCTGGAGGATGTCAAGGGTAATAATACAGGCAGCTTTCTTTATGGGGATGAGGCAGGTCACCAAGCAAGCTCTGGGAGAGCTGGGTTTGAGATGGGACATTACTTAAGCACGTCTGTAACTCTGATTATCGACATTAAAAATGGAAAATAGAGGAATTAAAGGAGCTCTTTGGGAAATCAGCTGGACAGGGGCACCTACGAGTCCTTCATCTAATGCACTTCTTAGTTCTTAGAAATCTGCATCATAGAAAGGCAACCCATGTAGGAAATTATTTATAGGGATTTATAGGAGTTTGTGTTTGGGAACGGTTGATTCAGCCAGGCTGTCTGGAGGGAAGGAGATGTTCTTCCTGCCCACCATGAAGCACAGACCCAACTGGGGGGCTGGGGAAATTGGCTTGAAAAGTTCAGCGGAATCCACATAATTGTTCATGGGAATGGTAAAACCGTACATCTGGCCATTCCAAGGAATTTGTAGAAGTCTTTGGATACTCGGGGAGCCAGACAGCTCATTAGAAAAATATGCTTTTCTTTTGATCAAACATGTCATCTAGGTAAACATATTAATATTCCATAGCGGCTGTTAGTTGTCAGATGTCTTTTATTCATTTTTAATTCCAAGAGCAATTTTTCTTCACAGTTCATAGGCTTTCCTTGTTTGTGACTTTCTAAGACCCAATGTGCCATAAAATAGAGGCTGTTGCTAGCTAAGGATTTCCTGCTGTGATACTGCACTAATTGATCCTCTAGCAAGAAGCTAGTTGGGGGCGACGCACGGCGTTGGTGTCTCCAAAACGGTTCAAGTTTGGCCCCGTCATAGTTCGCCAGCGAATTTTCAAGCTCCCCAGAGGGGTTCGTTTGCAGAAATACAGTTGGACTGATGGAGGGAAAGTTAATTATGATATGCTGGATTTGATGGATTGGGCCTCTAGGAAGTTTGCTGTAAAAGGTCTTCTGATAAAAATGGTGTAGACACAAGTGGGACAACCTTGAACATCTGCTTTGTAAATGGGTTTGAATAAACACATACAGACACACTTGCAGCTACTTCGTATGGAGATAAAGCAGGAGGAGGAGGTTCAAAACCTGGTCCTAATGTTTTGATCACCATTGGCACCCTGAGAGAGAAGTTGGTGCAACTCTACACTTTTTTTATTTTACATTGACCTCTTGATCCTAAAAAGTTTTCGAAAACATTTGTAGATTCTCCTGAACTGTAAGAATATTTACACTGAAATTGATTCGGGTTCATCTTTTATTTATGTATGATTTTTTTTTTCCTCCATATAACTTATTTATGTGGATAACAATATTGTCCTGGAGCCCTGAGGTCTACCGGGTGCAAATGTTCTGGGTGCTGGGAGCGCAGTATCGCCTAATGCAGATGGTAGAGGGAGGAGCTGAAGGATGGGAGCCATACCACGTGGCCTTGGCAGATACTGAGTGCTAAATGCTGTTTTTTCTGCTTATTGGCATCTTCAGTTGCACATACCGAGATGATAGAGGGGTTTTTAAAGAAACATTTTAAATATTTCGGGTATCTTCTGATTTTTCACTTTGGATTTTCAGGTTTTGTCCTTACTTGAAAGCCTGATTTTGGTTTGTGATGGGCAGGGTGAGCTATGAGGTGCTGTTATCAACCCTTTGGCAATGGGAATGGGAGAAAAATAAAATAAAAAAGTATTATCCTAGCATGACTGACCCTATACAAGCTGAGCTGAACTTTTTCACTGGAGATTTTAGGTTTTGTTGCTTTACTGTTTTTCCCAGTTGGGGTGAAGTTTATCCATGGAGAAAATTGGTTATGAGGAGAGAATAGAAAAAATGAAGAGAGAAGGCTGTGCGGGGAGAAGAATGAGCAGCTTTCTGATGAAATTCTGGGGAAGTTGTGAGCGAGATGATGCTCAGCAGTGCTGAGAGAGGCAGTAAGACAGCGGCTCCAGTGAACAGCATCTCACCCGGTCATAAGTCCTGCTTAAGACGTTTTAATGAAAGCTTAAGGATATTAGACCAACTGTTAGGCCTTTCAGTGGCTTTTTCTTACTCGCCCGTATAATGTTTCACTGTACAAAGATTTATTTGCGTTGCCAAAAAAATACTGAATGCTTAACCCTGCCACGTTCCCTAACCACGTGACAGCAAACCAAGCCTAGCTCTTTTAAGTTGGGTTTTAAGCCTTGGGTCATGTCGTGGAGCATTCCAGGAGGATTACGGTGCTACTGTGGCGCGCTCAGTTGCCCAAATAGCTGTTTGTGGTGCCAGTGACCATTAGCGTGCACGTCTTGCTTTGCTTTCACTGTCATCGCCCGAGGGTTTGGCTTCATCCTGCGGCACATATTCAGCACAAGAAAGATAAACCTTCAGCTGTCGAATGAGCTGAATTTTTTATCGTTTCACCACTGAGTAAGGAATTTGGGGTCAAAAAGATACTCTGGTGATGAACACCTATTAATATTGAAAATTACAGCCTGGCTTGTTAAAAAACCCTAAGGCAATTCCCATGCAGGAGCAAAGGGGTCTTTGCCTCCTCTTCCTCATTAATGAGTTCTCGTTGCTTTCCCTGCGCTGTATAAATGATTTCCTAGATTGTATCATTTAAAATATTATAAATTAAACAAAGTGGAAAACGGAGGGAATTTGTGTGGGCAGAGGCTATTTCCAGAGCAGCGATGACTGTGATTATGCAAAAGGCCATACTGGAAAAGCCCGTTACCGCAAGCAGCTCTGGATCCAAACCGGTGTAAATAGCTCTCCCAACTGGGACCTCTGGCCTCGTGTTTATTACAATAATGGGTAAAATACGGCTTTTTCCAGCTGTTGTTCATAACGCACGATAATTGAGCCTCCTTTCATTCTTCTGGAAGTCGCGTCCCCGTTCGCCACGTGCACGTGGGGTACCTCGCTCAGGGGTCAGGCATCTCCTGATGCAGCAGGACACTTAAGTACCTACTTAAGACCCTATGGCGTGTTTAAGATGCTCGGGCAAAGCGCGGTCCAAACAGTTTCATGGCACTCGAGGCCAAAGGGAGCACAACGTCACCCTGGTTAACCTCGTGCGCAGCAGGATATTGCGTTTCCCACGGCTGCCCTCCGCTCGGCCCAGGTACGTCGGGTCCATGAGTGCTGCTCGCTGCTCCATTTTCCCAACCGGCTGGGGTTCGCAGCTTTCTGGTCAGTAGGTATTTCACCTGCGGCTCTTGCTCCTGTATAATGGCATGTGATTTTGGGGGGAAAATGCAACCCATCTGCAAACCTTTATTAACCTGCCCTGTATTTTCCTCACCTGCTAAATAGCATTAATTCTCCTTCATCCTAAAAGTCTGTCTTGAGAGAGGGCCGTATTCAATGTCCTCTTCTTATTACTGCATCTGTAAATTTGTAAATGGTGAAAATTTTTTTCAACCTTTCAGTTAATTTTTTTCAACTTCTTCACAGCCATTTCTGTTCTTTGCCCCTGGGCTGAGTGCCCGAGCTGTGCCACGAACACAGGGAAGCCGGAGGAACTGCAGGAGTTTCGCTTCTGCAGCCGTGACCTGAAGGCAGAGCTCGGGCGCGGGGCCGCGGGTCTCAGCTGTTCAGCATTTCAGACCAGCCCAACTCTTCTCCTTTCGCAAATGCCGCTTGCTTTCCTGGAGACAGAAACCTGCCTGTGACGGGCGTGTTGGGAATGGTGGAAATGTACGGCAGGGAGCCAGGCTTTTCAGCTGGAACGTTTTCAGTTATAGGTGTTAATTGATTTTGGTTATTAAAATTACTAAAAATATTCCATTTGTATTTCTTATTTAGTCTCTGACGCTGTGTAATATCACTACCAAAGATATAACTGTTACATTTTTTTTAATTTTTTTTTTTTCCTCTGGAGCGATGATTGCTAGTTGATGAAATGGTCATTGGGTCCATTTGTTTGAGTCACTCATGATATAAAAAGATTTTCTAATGCTTTTTCCGTTATGTCCATGCCCTTTCTATCTCCCCTGGGACAGAGGATGGTGTTAGGGGACGGCTGAAGCTACCCGCAGCTTGTACGGAAGGCGGCTCAGCACCGAGCCGAACATTTCACCCTGTCTTACTCAGTTTAACCCAATTAAAGCCAAAACCCAATTAAAGCCAAATTTCCTCTTAAATGTCATTAGGCAATTTGGCTTATGGCAATTTGCCTTTCTGCCCTCACTTTCTTTTCCTTCTCTTTCCCCCCCCACTTTTATTTCTCTCTGCTGTGTTTTTGGTCGCTGTTAAGATGAGAAAGCCAAGATACGGAAATAAAGATGATCCTTCCCTTTGAAAGCAAGTAGGGTTCGAGGTTTTCTGGTTGGAGGACAGGGATATGGTGGTGGCACCTCACCATCGTGGGGCTCACCAGCCACATTGACAGATTTACTATAAAACTCTCTATTGGAGGGAGGGGAAACTTCAGCAGTAATTGCAGGAGGTTCAGTCCCTAAAAAGGTGGATGAAGAAGTTTGGATCTTGGCATTGGTTATTGCTTTTCCACCCCTTCTCCAGCATGTCTGAGGCCTGGCCCTGGCCCAGTTTGGTCAGTCATGGCCATCGCCAGCGTTGAGGGATGGCCCCTGGTTGCTGCCAAAGAGCGGCTTTAGCCTGCTTGGCTCCCAAATGGAGACTCTTCCTCTAAACATGTCCCTTTGTTTTTACAGCTCCTTCAAACACCTGATCGGCGGCCTAGATGACGTTTCCAATAAAGCCTATGAAGATGCAGAAGCAAAAGCAAAGTAAGTGTTTGCTCGTTGTGTTCAGCGTAAAACCTTAACATCCATTTTGTTGATGGAACGTCGTAATTCAAAAACCCCTGGTTTTTCTCAACATGATAATATAAAACAGCTTAAAAAGTGGTGACTTAGGTGCTTACTCTGAATTTTCCTCTGGACGAGCCTCCTTCTCTCTCCCTGGCTCTCTCCATGAATATGGGAGGACTGGATGGAGATGGGTCTCCTCAGGTCAGTGCCCAGAGACGAGTGGTCCCAAGGTCCGTCTTAATCACAGTACTGGAGTCCACAGAAATGTGGGATCTTCAAAATTGGTCGCAAAATAATTCTCTTGAAATATTTTAAGGAGAGAATTGCAGAAAGCGCAGGTAATGAAGGAAATTGTTGTAGAAAATTATTTTTTTTTTTCTTTAGAAAACTGTGTCAGCCGTTTTCACAAAGTCAAAACCTATTCTGAGCCAACGAATGGGAAATTGAGTTTGTCATTTTTGACTGAATACTAGAGCGGCTTTGATGTGAAGCGATACATTCTTCTGAAGTCTTGCTATAAATATTCATTCCTTTCAGAAGTGAACTGTAGTGTATTGTAAAATGCGTCCAGAAAAACCCTGCTCTTCATTCAGTCTTGATCCACAATTTGGCTTTAATGGTGTGCTGTGTACTTCGATGCTGTGCCAGCAATAGAGCTGTTGAAGAGGAAGGTGTTGTGATGAGGGGGACACTGGATATAGGCTGGATACTGAATGTAAGCCACGGTGATTCAAAGGCAAAAGTGGTTTAAAAGAAAACTGAAGTCGCTCTGTACAAAATTACTTTACTTTTCCTCTTAAAAAATTATTTTACTTTTTTTAATTATTATTATTGCTACCACATTAAAGAAGGGGTTGGGTGTTTTCTCTAAGTCAGAGGCTCAGTGTGGCTGTCAGTCAGTGGTCTGCAGCCGTCTAAATTTAAGATTGCTCTTCAGTTACACATAGCAACTCCTCATTAACCCAGAGGGGTTATAACAAAGGAATGTGGCGCTTCTGTGGCAAGAAAATGAGAAGCCCTAATTAGTGAGGCGATTAAAAATAACTTCTTGTTTGCTTGTTTCAGAAAGTGAATCTGCGTCCCCAGAAACATAGGTTCTTGGACAAGCCTCGCTAATATTGCAGAGTATCCACCCACTAAGATAGTATTTTCTTCTGTACCATCGTTGAGTGATATTTGAAATATATTTTTAATAGTGTTTAGTTTATTTTAAGGAACTAGAAGGGTTGCATTTTTGTTTCAAATAATACTTCCCTGCCCCAAATCAAACATAAAAGCTTCCTTGCTCAAATGCTTAAGTTCCCTAAAGTTCTTGTTGACTTAATGAGAAAGGCAGGAGGCGTTCAGCCTCTTCTGCCCTCCCAGAAAAGAGGCGTTTGGGGCACAGACTGCGAGGTCAAATGGACACAGTGCTATAGCAGCAGGTAACTAGCTATTAGGTATATATTATGTATATTATTATATATATTAGATATTAATAGAGCTGAAAACATGGCATTTTAATGCCAGCAGCAGCTTATGCAAAGCGTTTTACAAAGTGTTGGCAAATGAACTTCAGCAGCTTCAGAGAGATGGTCCCACCTGTCCCAGGCACGTGCTCTTACGATTTTAGATTTTTTTTTTTTTTTTTAGTGTTACTATTTGGATTATCTTGCTTTCCATCTGAACAAAAAGGGAGAAAACATTGGTAAAGAACCTGGAGATGTTTGGTTTTCGTAACAGCACGATGTTCTTGTCGCAGAAGCTTTTACAAGGCTACACCACAACCCATTAGCGCTGAGCACCACTTGCAGGTCGGACTTGCCCTGCCCATGTCATAGTCTGTCTTCTCACATCTGCAGTTTTAAGCTGTGTTATTAATAGAGTATCGCAGAGTCATTTACTATCACAGGCAATGTTTGTGTACGCAGATTGTAGCAGAGGCTTTTTTCGGGATCATTCTGTGAGTTTTCGGGAAGGGTTTTCAGGATCCCTTGTGCGCTTTATATCTTTAGGGAGGCTGCTGTTTTGGACCTATTTTGGATAAAGTCTTTATTTTGGGAACCAACAGGCCACTGTTGACCTTAAGATTTTTGAGCTTTTCTTTATTCCTCTTCTTTTCTTATAATGCCAAGTGTTTTATCCCCACCAAAGGGCAAAGTGAAGGTTTCTTGGTGATGGAGGAATCGTTCCCCAAAAGGAGGCGTTGATTAATATTGATAGCAACTCTTCTATTTTAAAACTGAGAGGCCTGTGCTTGAGTCCCGTCACTTGAGACTGTAGGTGACGGTGACATTATTGCCCTTCGCACGTTGACATTTTGACTTTGAAAGCACATAAGGGCTGTCTGCCTGGAGAAACGTTAAAAAACCAGAATGCTCTTTCAAAAGGTACGGCATTCATTAGTCAAATACCATATTCCGGTTTGCTCGAATCCCTGAAAGCAAGGGCGTGCCTGCAGACAGGTGGATAGGAGAGGGGGAATGGGGGAGTTACTTGGAGAGCAAAGCGAGATGCCCTGGAAGCTGCTGCAGAAAGTTTTGTCACTCAAGTTATTGTTTCTGTATCTCGCAAGATAAAACTCCTCTGGGAGAAAAGGCTCCTTGGCAGGGATTTTAACCTGGATTAGTTTTCAAGCAGCTGTTAATTAGCTCCAGCTAATTGTCCTTCAAGGGCTTATCTTTTCCGAAGGGAAGTTTGTGAAAGGGAAGAACTCGGCACATAAAGCTCATCCGTGTTTGGTTGAGGCTTTACACAAATCACCTTAAAATTGTTTTCCCCCCCTTTTGCAGCCTCGTAGCTAGCGTCTCATTTTCAGCGCTTGGATGGCGAGTGGCAAAAGGCCTTTGGGCGGATAGAAATTCTCTGTGTGCCCCTGTCTCGCCGTGGCTCAGGACGGTCCATGCAAAGGTCAGACGCTCAGCAGATGTAACGGCACAGAATAAATACAAAGGCCGTCGTTGCGAGATGTCATCACAGTGTCCGAGCCTGCTTTTGGTTGCTGCAGTGGCCAAATTGAGGGCCAAAACGTGAACAGTTTAGTATTTTCTTACCAGTCGCTGTCAGTTAAGAAATATGAGTTGAAACAATACATATAAAAATATCTACAGAATGGCAGCAAATACATTTTCGTATAAATCTACCATATCAAGCTTGATTATTAAATTCCTGTTAATTCGTAGGCTCCTGTTCAGCTAAAGCACAGGTTTAGACTACGTCCAACACAGGGTTCATGTTCCTCAGCAGGACTTGGGCCATGGGCTGGAGTTCATTGCAGAAATACCTACCAAATTGGTGGCACTGGTGGGTTTTTTTTAATCTCCATGCTAGAGCATGACCCTGGCATTACAGAGCTGGAAGAGCCAGTGCAGAGCATGACTGGGAGGATGTTAGGCAGAAGTTACAGGGTCAGAAAATCTTCCCATGTATCCAACAGGCCTCCAGGTTTGAAAGGGCTGAACAACTTTTTGTTGAGTTTCTCTCTTGGTGACCTGGTGTTTTCCCAGCTAAGCCTTGAGATATGGTTAGGGTGCTCCTAGGACCTGGGAGAATGCTCTAGCACTCAAGCTGCTGTAGACAACTGAGCTATCACTTCCAACCCTTGGGCATGATTTGAAGGAAAGTGCAAGCTCCGCTCAGCTCTGAAGGCAAACATATCACCATTCCAAAATAGTTCAGCTGAGCAGAGGGGCTTCTTGCACCACTAAATGAGGAGTCATGGGGGGACCATGGCTTTAGGTATCTGTGTCCTGGCTGTGGCGGTTGTAGGTGTGTGTCTATGTGCACGGGCACCTTTGGATTGTGTCCTAGATGCCTGGCTCTTGGCCTGCACGGGCAGCCAGGATGCCCAACACAAGGCTGTGTCAATGCTCCAGTGGGAAGGTGCCCAGGAGTCCCTGCCAAGCAGACGCTGAAGAAAGTTGTGTTCTTCAAGGGCATTGGCCTTCCCTCAAGAAGACATCTGTCTGTCTAGGAAGCAAGTGTGCACCTGGGCCGCTGAACGCGGTGGAATTCAGTAGAGTTGCTCATGTGCCCAAGCGGAGGCATCTTTGACACCACTTTGAGTTTCCTTACAGTCAGGTGACTGTAAAAATTGTGGCTTTCATCTAAATGGAAGAACCCTTTTTTATTCTCATGGTTCCAGAGATTGCCTTTCTAACATGAGCTGACTTCGGCACCTTACAACTTGCTTACAACTAATACCTTACCACCCAATTAATACCTCTTCTGGAGATGCTTTTCCCTGGGTTTTGCAAGCTTGGGATTGGCAGTTCTCCTTAATGTCCATTCTTTGTGTTCAGTCTCTTAAGTCAGAAATCATCAATGTATCATCAGTGAGGCTATATAATTAATATTCTACTCCTCAGGTGTATTCAGATAAGTTAAGTTAATCAACTAATGAATATTATAGTTCCTCCCTTACCAGAGTAAGGGTGAAGGAGAGAGGCAAGCATTTCATTTGGTTCACGTTCTGAGGAAACGGGAGTTTCAGAAGAACGGCGCTTGTGTCCCGGTGTCAGACCCAGCCGCATTGGTATTGAGGGCATGAAGGAGATACCTAAATAAGCAGGAGACCCATCGAAGCACAGATTACTTCCAGGCGGAGCCACTGCTGCAGCTCTCGTAAATCCAGGAGGAAGCAGGTGGTTTCTGCTGGCGTTGTTGGTGCCAAGTGAGGTGAGGGTTCAGCGAACGCCCTTGGCTCCAGGCGCACTGATCCCTTGTGCTGGCATCTTCCCATCTTCCCCGTCCACAAAACTCCTGACATTAATCTCTGCACACTACTTCAGCCACTAACGAGGGCATGGGATGAGGTCCCCTTTGGCTTGGCCTGGCCTTTCCGTGACGTGGCTGTAGCAAGGGAGAGCCTCTCCCATGTGGCGGAGACAAGGACAGCAGCAAGGTTGCCCTCCCCACCGAGCTGGGAAGCTGGCAGTTGCCTGGGCTTTGCCTGGCCAAGCAGAGCGTGTCCGCTCCGGTGACCAGGGTCCCTGGGC